ACGCCAGCCTTGCACACTATACAGCAGTGCTGCGCGTTGCGCTCACGCCGCACGGCCCTTGTAAATCCCACGTGCCGGTGTTCTACCTGTACCGTCAGAGCACGCCATATCGCGGTGCTGCCGCCCCGCACGATCTCCCCAGGTTTCTTCTGAATCCTATGCACCACACATAAAGCACGGATCCGCAATATCTGTGGATCCCCACGGATCACGACTCGCTCTGCGGGTGGAGTCGTGAGCCGCAGGTCCGGCTCCCACGGGTCCGGCTCTTCCGGAGGATCCGATCCGTGAGACTCCAGATCAAGCCCGCCCAGTGGCTGTGATCCGCGGATAAGACTCCGGATCGATCTGCGGGTAGATCCTCAAACAGCCTTAGTCGGTGCCTACGACTGGAAGGCCTTCCATAAGAATTTAGCGACGCTCGGTGTCGCTAAACTTTATTGCGAGTTCAGAGTGCGCCCTGCCGGTCATAAGCGCCCCATCCATACATAAGCCCAGTTGTGCACGTCACCGGTCGCAGCGTCGCTAAATTCCTGGCAGGCCTGTGAAATCCAGTCGCTTAGACGCCCGTCCGGCCCGACCCATGTCAAGCACATCTCGCCCACGATAAGCACGCCATGCCCACGTTGAGCATGCCGTCGCCGTGTCCGCGCCCATCTCTTGCACACATCCATGCCAGTAAATGTAAGGCAATCTAATTTCTCGCTACTTGATGTAAACACTCGTGAGCAACCCCGTGGGGGGGAAATAAAATATATTGGTTGCTGTGATCTAACTACACTAAGGTAGACCCAGCACAGACTCGACGACGTCACATGACCTCCCCGTGTCACACTTGGGCCAGTTTGGCGGGGGAAAGACGCTTAAAATCGAATAACAACTCGAGGATTCATCCTACAACCAAAGTGCTTTATACATTGTCTGCTACAATGAGTGCTGTAGAATATGTATAGAACGGATTTTGGCTAACGGCCACAGCAGTAGAGTTATAAGCCAAGATGTATGCTCTGCACGCAATTTCGGTCATCTAAGCGAGGTCCGGCTATCTCGCGCCCAGTTGCAAGCACACGCTTGCAGGCTGCCTGTGCAAGTCAACACATCACGCACCGCAGCCCATACGTAGTGTTCGCGGCAGAACTCTGCCGTTCTGCCATTTCGCCGTCTGCCACCGGCAGTTGCCATCCTGCCGCCGAGGGCACCGGGCAGAATTTGGCAGTATATAGAGCGCTTATTGAATATAATGGGTCTATTTTCCCGTGACTGCGCGTCGCGACGCCGATAGCGACCCATGGGCCCGTTAATGATATGATGCTTCCTTCTACTGCTTCAGTCTCGACACACCCTTGCCTCTCATGCCAGCACCTGGTCGCCAACTCGCCTCTATCTGTCAGGATAACTTTGAGAAGCGCGAAGCTATCCCAAACAAGTCCAACAGGAACTATTACGAATGTAAACACTGCGGAAAGAAGATTCAAAATCGCGACAACAACCTTCTTAAGCACCTTGCCGAGTTCAAGAAGTGTCCCAACACCCCAGCTGATGTCCGCCCGCTCGCAATCCTTGCATTACGTGCCAAAGGGATTGATGCCGCCGATGTTGCTCTCCCCGATACTGTTGCTGCCCCCGGTGATCCCTCTGAAGACACCACTGCCCCTGTTCAGCACCCCGCAGCGAATGACGAGTCGGATTCACCCACGCTGTCAGCACCCGTGTCTAAGCGGCGGCGAACCGAGACCAATTCACTCGAGCGGTTCTTTGACCATTCCATGACACCGGAGCAGGAGGGACGTGCAAACGTGAAGTTCTTCCGGTGCGCTCTCTTCTTACGGCATTCCCCCATCATTTCTCACATTCACATCGCTTAACAGCGCCGTTGTCTATTCCAATCTCCCGTTTCATGTCTCGTCGAGCTGGTACTTCAAGGACTGGGTCAAAGAGATACGGCCATCATACAACCTAGCGTCGCCCTATGTGCTATCCCACGAGCTCCTTGATAAAGAGTTCGCCCGAGTTGATGTTGAGGATAGAGTCCGGTTGAAGGAGGGTACGTTCTGGACTCTGCTGTTCGACGGCTGGGAGGATGCTGTCAAGAGGGCATTATACGGCACTGTTGCGGCCGAAGTTGGCAAGCACCCCATTATCCTCAGTCTCGACAACCTCACAGGCAAACGAGGGGATGTTCCGACTTTGCTGGCGACTGTCCAAGGTGCCGCAAACAACATGGGAGTTGGCAACATGAAGAACTTCATAGCTGTCACAACTGACAACCCAACGACGATGCACGCCTTCCGTCGTGAGTTTAATAAGAAGTTTACTTGGCTTCTGGTGTGTTTTCGCATTTCTAGCATGTTATATTCCACGCTCATGTATTTACATAGCTCTTTGCGTGCTTTCTGCATGGCATGAACACCATTGTGGGCGAGATTTCAACGTTCACAGTCATGAAAGAGGCCGTCAAAAAGGCTACGCAAATCGTCACATTCTTCAATGCTTCGCACTACTGGGGCGGACAACTCGCTGAAGAAGCCACCAAGCAAGGAGTGACAAGGAAGCTCCAGCGTCACTGTGACACACGGTGGTACTCGCTCATCGTGCATTGCATGAGTGTTCTGAATTATCGGTGAGGGTCTATCTACTATTATAAGTTGTCATACGGGATGCTTACAGTTATAAACAGCCAGGCACTTATGAATCTATGCGTGCGTGAAGACGCACAGCGCGCGGTCAACAATCTGTCCCCTATCCCCCCGACAATCCGTGCTATTGTCCTCGACTACACCAACTTCTGGCCTCGCATTGCTCAGCTTGTTCGCACCACCAAGCCTCTCGTTGATGCCATCGGGAACGTCGAGTCCCGGAACGCCGGGCTTGCAGACTGCATGCTTGAACTAACCCACTGTGCGCAAGCGATGATGCGGCTTGACCTCGGCGACAATGACGATCCTGGCTTCTGGGACCACACCAAGATTGTGTTCAATCATCGATTCCACGAGATGGACACCGAGCACCATGGACTCGCTCTCTACCTTCACCCGCTGTGCCGCCGTCTTGCTGTCAGCCAAGCGGCTAACGGTCGAACATACCACCAGATGGAGGTCACAGCTTTGACCATCGCTGATGTGCAGTCAACTCCGCGAAGAGTCAACAGTGATGAGGGCGAGTGAGCGAGCTCGTGCAAGCGTGAGACGCGGGAAGTCGAGGAGGAAAGGAAGGGAACAGCTACGACGCGCTGCGTGAGGAGCGAACGCGAAGGGAGGACGGATCGGGGGATCGCGCGAGCGCGAGGAGGACGATGTGAGAATAGACGCGGAGTGAATAGACGAGATCGCTCGCACGCGCGGCGCTGGCGAAGGCGAAGGGAGTCGAAGTCGTGGGCAAGAGTGTGGGCGAGAGCGTGGGCGTGGGCGTGGGCGAAGTCGAAGTCGAAGGCGAAGGTGAAGGCGAAGGCGAGACGAGGTGAGCACACAGCACGCGCAGAAAGAGCGGGAGAGTGAACTAAGCATCAATAAGCAAAAACGTGAGCCTAAGTACATGCGACGCACGGGGCGAGTATGTAGACAGATCAATGTACAGTCCAAGACCCGAAAATGTACGAAATCGAGACCGAGAATGAAGGGGAAGTGGATACGAGAATACGAAATGTACGAGATGTAGAACAGGAGGACATACTAATCGTGCAAGAAGAGGAGGGGAATGAAGATGAGGAAATGGACGAGGTCGGTGTACTGTAGAGGAGGTGGATTGGGTGCGTGCCGTGCCGGCCTCGGTCGTGCGTGAACTGCGGCGTGGTGTGTCCGTAGGCGTCGCGCGGTACGTGAGGACGAGCGAGGTCGAGGTGGACGGCGACGCGCGGGCGCTAGTGTAGTCGCGGTGCACCGTACAGCGGCGGTGCGTGCGTATCATCGCTAAGAAGTGGGGCTGGTCGATAGAAAGGGCGAAGGGGCTCCAAGCCGACCTCATCAAGTACCACCGCTCGGAACAGCCATTTGAAGGCGGGGATCCAGACGCGCTGAAGTGGTGGAACAACTCACGCATTGACGGGCAGCAGCATCCTCTCAAGGCCTTCGCACTCGCCATCCATCACATTGTCCTGCACGCTGCTGAGATTGAACGAGTCTTCTCAGGTCTCGGTTGCACTCAGTCTCCCCGGCGTTGCCGCCTCAACCTCGACACATTCGAGAAGCTTGGGAAGATCCGGACGAACCTGCACTCACACCTACACTCGCACATGGTGTCCATTGGCCGGCCAGTGCATCGCAAGCACGCCCACATGCGGACACGAGAGGAGGGTGGGTCGAATGTCGTGCTCGCACAGGACCTCGAGAGGACGTTCACATGGAAACCGCCATTGGCGACGGAAGGCGGAATCACCGACCCGTTTGAAGCCCCAGAGGACATCATGGTGGACGAGCTAGATCGCGCATTCAAGGAATTCGAAGGTGAGCTTCAACGCGAGGCCAACGACCCGAACGCAGACCGGGACAAGCCTCCGAGCGATGCTGGCTCGGGTGTCCTTGAAGGCCGCTCCTATAGCTTCGAGGAGCTCGATCGCGTGAACAAGGGCGTTGCCCCGGAGGTTTTGCAGGACGACTTGAAGGTGATCGAGGATGCTGGGGACGATGCAGAATGGGACATCGCAGATCTAGTGTCCGGAAATCGAGCAGTATGAATGCAGGGATGAGTACTAGTTGATTGGTGTTAATCGAAAGGGGGTCTCCGGCATGCGGTGTCGTCGAGGATACGAGGTAGAGGGAGCGTTGAGCAGCGGCGACGCGTCCCTCACACCAGATGGGCGTCTGCATTCTGCCGCGATTCGCCGATTCCGGCAACTGCCGTTGTGCCACTTCTGCCCGGCAGAATTGGCCGAAAACAATTCTGCCCTATACTCTACCTGTCCCTGCGCCTTCCCCTCCTGTGCCGCTCCCCTCCTCCCTCCCTCCACCACCCTCCTGCGTCCAGCGCAAAGCCTTGCTGGCGCCCTCCCCACGGCCATCGCTGCCATGGCCAATATTGTCCATACCCCAGCGCCCTCCTCCCGCCACAAGCGTTCATTCGCAGACATGGGCCCCGATCTCGACCCCAATGCCCCCCAGCCAAGCGGCAGCCAGCCCTCGTCCTCCCAGTCCTCCTCTCCCTCAAGGGAACACAGCAAGCGAGCTCGCAACAACGCCGATTCGTACGCCACCGAGCTCGTCAACGACCTCACTGTCCCAGACAGCACCCTCTCATCCTCCTCGTCCAGTGGCAGCCACACCACCTACCACTCCGCACACTCCTCATTCTCCTCCCCATCGCCTGAGATTCATCCCGCTGACCCATCCCTTCACGAGCTCAATCCCCTGGTCCCCGACCCCGCCCCACTTACAGGCGAAGCGCTCAGCATCCCGGCCTCGTTTGCCGCTCATCTGCCCTCTGCTCCTTTGCAGCCCACCCAGAGCACGTCGAGCCGAGATGACCAGTTCCGCCTCTCCATGGAGCGTCACGATGCCTTTGACCGCGAGATCTCGGCCTTGCGCCACTCTCCCGCCCGGGAACCGCCCATATGGTCTTCCTGGAGCGGACACGCCCCCCTCTCGCCTTCAGGTGCGTTCCGAGTCTCCTTCGCTCCGTGCGCATATGGTGACCTGATTCCGTGAAGGTGGTCCGGAAGCCTGTCCCTCGGCGCATGACTATCCTTACACCCCCAGCCACCCACGCTCAGTCTTCACATCCTCGGACTCAGTCGGTGGTCCTCTTCATCCCCAACGTTCGGTCGAAGGCACTTCCTCCCCCTCCGTCTTGGGACGGGGGTTACCTTCGCCACCGTTTGGTGGATATCATGAGCCGGATGCAGCCCCGAGGCTGTGGGATTCTGAAAGCCGCTTGTCACGAAGCAATGCGACTCCGGCCGCATGGGCAGCCCCTCCTCCACGCACAGGTACGATTCTTTAGTGTGTTGGCGAACATGGGACTCATTTGTAGCCAGATTACTATGACCAGTTCCCCGCCGATACGCAGCCATTCAGCGTATACGACCCTTTTCATCCTTGGGGAAGAACAACGTCTACTGCTGAGGCATCGCTCTCTCGTCGTGCCGGTACCACGTCGGTCATTCGCCAACCATCACCTCCTGATGCTTTCGGATCGTTCAGGTCTCGTCGTCATCACACGCGTCTAGACATGTTACCTTATCGCATGGACCACGACCCGGTCCGACGTGACATCGATGAGGCCCTCCGAGACTCAGACAAGCATAATCTGCGAATTCGCCGTTTGCTCGTTTCAGCACGCGAGAGTTCCCCCGTACGTCGACGCCCGATTGACGATTCTGCCTTCATTCGGAGATTGATGTCCGTGTGCGTGACAGAGGGGTTTTCTATCATCTCAACTATGTCCGAAAGCTCGGTTTCGAGGAAACTCCGGACTACGGCTTCCTAAGAGAGCTGTTCGCCAAGGTGCTCAAGAACAACGGCGACATCGAAGACAGCGTTTACGACTGGAACCTGCTGAATGGTAAGGCTCATTTCCGCCCCGCCTCCCGGATGTACCCTGGAAGACCACCGCTGCTGCGACTGGCACATACCCCGACCTCACGATGTACTATGCTACGGTACTACGACTGCGCACGCACCGCTACCGCCGCCGCCATGGTCTACGACCACAACTACAACCAGCAGCAACAAGCAACCGCGCCTTCCGCCGACTTCCGGAGCCAGCTGGCCCAGCACGCGACCAACTACGGGAGCCATGCTGTCGATTACCCACCTGCCGTGGCCACGGGGTACGACGCTATGCAACACGCCGGCTACAAGAGCTGCGACAACCAAGAGCACATCCCGCGCGTGCAGTCCCCGAACCACACCTTCGCAGGCCCCAGTAACATGACCCCGCGCGCCACCTCATGGAGCACCTCTCCGCCGCAAGTTTGAGAAGATGGATTCCACAACACGACGTTCAACGGCTTCGCGGTCAAGGATGAAACGGCGGGGCCAGTGTACGAGCCAGGAGGAGCATGAGGCGGGTGGATGACCTCGACGACGCACCGGCGTACGCTGCTGGAAGCAGAGAAAGGGAGGCACGCTGAGGAGCGATACGATCAATGGGACAAGCCTGGATCGCGGTGAGTGCATCTCCCTCACACCTCATGCAACCCATTGCATCCCCTGAGCAATACATATCTGTATTGGGGGTCACCATGTTCCCGCGGACCGCGTGAACACGGCGACCCCAGCTGCTCTATCATCGTCTACGTGAGAAGTGCATCTGTCATGGGTGCAAACATCACGGCTATCGGTGAATGCTTGCACCCGCGGCGGATGTTCTTCGGAAACGGGATGGGAACACAACGGCTTCGAACAAACACACGGCCGCAGTGCTCGCTGTTCAATCGTGGGCGGGCCTGGGGAGCAGCCATGTGGACAGCAGGGTATGCATGGGTTGTTAAGCGTGTCCCTGGATGCAGTCCCACTCGAGCGCAGAGCTGACGCAGGACCGTTATAGAAACGTTAGGTGCATAAAACCCCAGCCGGAGGGCCCTATCTTCATCGCACTCGGCCATGTCTGGTGAGCCACAGGTGAGCCATCCACCTGCCACACCCTTCACGACGAATGCCTTGCATGCTTCGCCACCGCGTCACCTCGCCCCTCGTGCCCCCGTTTACTCATGCGTAAACCCCCAGGCGTTGCGGCGGTCCCCGCGGCGGCCTCTGCCAGAGGCAAAGCTCTACGAAACTGGGGTCGACATGCGCTCGGAGCTCAAACGCGCCCGTAGCAACATGCGCAAGCTATTGAAGCAGAACAAGCGTGATAACGTTGAGCTTTCGGACCTGGAGGAACTCGACCCAGGCATATGCAGCGATGAAGATGACGGTGCGTATTAATGGCCACCATGCGAGCAATGCTTACGCCTCTGTCAGACTACAAGTCAGGCGACGAGACCTCAGAAGGGGCAGCCAACGAGTCACTCGAAGAAGGTGAGGTAGACGAACGGGACGCTACGCCACCACCCTTGACAGCACCATCCTCTCCTCCCCATCCCAACGACGATGGAGACGAGTCCCGCGAAGAAGGCGAGCTTGATGTGGGGGACCCTATGCCACCACGCTCAAGAACACCACCGTCTCCCCTGAAACCTCCTTCTGCGAAGAGACAGCGTGCAACAAGTCGGACTCGTCGTACGTCTGACATGTTCATTATAAACCCCAATTCTACGTAGCTGCCATTGTGTTAGCGCGAGCCTCAACATCAGTCACCACCACCGCTAATCCCCACGCTGCCCCACCCCCCGTTGTCGAAGCTGCGACCGACAAAAACAAGCGTCAAAACGAGCTCTACGCGGCGCGAAGGAGGAAGCAGGATGAGCGCAAGAGGGAGGAGAAGAAGACCACGGCCGTGCCGCACAACGCCCTGCCTGACCCGCCCAAGGGCCTCCGCTTTGTCCGGCGGTACATCAATGCCGACGAGACCGTCTTCGAAGAGGTCTCAGTCGCGGAGTACAAGGTGGAGAAGTATGGGTACCAAGCCCTCCATGACCCTGTCAAAACCAAGACACCCCCGACAGTCGAACAACTTGAAGACCGCGAGTACTCATTCCTCAACTGGGACGGACTGTAAGCTATGTTTCATACCGCGCACAAACCTAGTTGCTTACACTATACAGGCGGCTGTTCCGCGTTCTCGATCGAGACCGGCGTTCGGTGCTCACACTGATTCCTCCACCGTTGGATGACCCCTCATGGGAAAACGATCTGAATCAGCTTGGTGCCGAGTTCATCGGCTACCGTGGTGGTAGCAATGGCCATGGCGGCCAAGGAAGGCATGGTTTGTTCTCCACGTTTGGGTGTGGGATATCAATGGGGCCGGGCTCGACTGTGAGTGGGGCTCTGTGCCAACAATATACGACTCTGATCGCTCACACAGGCCCCCACCAGAATGGCAAAGAGGACGGTGTGGCAGCAAGCAGTAGAAGCACACCCTGAGCACGCAGAAGCGGAGAAGGAAGACTGGCAGGAGGGGAGGATCATGTCCATCCGGGACGGATGGGTTTTAGGAGGGGGGTAATGTCGTGGAACGGACTCTGGACTCGCCCTATGTATTATTTTTCGCCTTTTCCTTGCCTTTTCTCTGCCTGCTACTATATTGGAAGGTTGTTCCCGCGCTTAAGCGCCCGTATCGCGGACTCTCTTAGCACTTGCACTTCGTGTCCTAGCCCTCATCTCGACCTCTTGGTCTTTGTGGGCTAGGTGAGTATCTCGATTGCCTGTATGTCTGTAGAGCTATGTTAACTTGGTCTTTGTGGGCTAGACATCCCTCGCGTGACTCTAGTTTGCGTCTGCTTTGCGCCTAGTGCCGGCAACGCCTCTGCACCACTACATCGAGGTCATCCAACCTCCATCTCTACCTATCCACCCCTCCCTCTCCTCCGATTGGCGTTCGCGGCCCGCTCCCGCGTCATTAGGTCGAGATCTAACCAGTGAGTGCTGGCATCAAAGCATCGGATCGCCCCCACTCGCGCAAGCATCGTCCCCACCCTGTGCCACTCGCCCCGCTCTTCCCCTACCCTGCATACCTGCCGGAGTTATAAGGCTCTGAGCGTATCGCAGTCTCCCTGGGTCTGTTGAGCTCGAGTATCACACTCTGAGAACACTACCCCGCTCCCGGCCGACGACTCTATCCGCGCAGTTGGTCATCCCGACTGATTGGCTGCCCGGAAGCCTCAATAGGTGTTCACTTCCCCGGAGCGTACCCTGGTTCCTAGAGCACGGTGGCTTGCGCAGGTCATCAGCACGCGGTTGACACTGAAAACAACCAGCACGTCCACATCGTCCGCAACGAGCGAAACGACCTCCTCTGGCAAGAGTGCGACGACCAACCGTGTCCTCATATCTGTACCCCTGTCACCTACACGACCCGCAGGGCTAGATTCGACGAGACCCACACTCCTATCCCACCCCTAGTCATGGATGCCCAGCAGTTTCAGGCCCTCATGCAGGCCCTCACCGCGAACCAGCAGCAGTTGGTTGCCGGACAGGCCAACCTTACGCAGGCGGTGACAAATCTGGCAACCGCGTTCCAGAACCTGTCCACCACCCTTCCCCAAGCTATGACGAATGCGACGGTGGCTTCGAACGTCAACACCCAAGCCACGAAGGACGCGACAAAGGTCACGAACAAGCCCCAGCCGTACAACGGCAAGACCAGTTCGGATGCACGCCGCTTCGTAGCATCCTTCCAAGTCTACGCGATGCAGATGGGTGGCCATCTGAACACTGCCAACGCCACGGGCGGCTTCGATCGCGACGACGCGAAGTGGATCAAGTCGGCTCTAACTCTCCTCACCGATGACGCTGCGATCTGGGCTACCCCCTACCTGGAAACGATTGGTAACGGGCTGGCAGTGTTCAACAACGACTGGACGACCTTCAGAGCGGCGTTCAAAACGCGATTCGAGACGGCCGACGAGGCAGTCGACGCGAAGGCAGCCCTGCAGGCCCTGCACCAGCGTAGCCTCTCTGTCGTCGAGTACTACGCGCGGTTCAATGAGCTTGCGGACAGGACCGGCTACAGCCAGACCGACCTCCGTGACCGGTTCTACGAGCACCTCTCTTCGGAGATCAAGGACGAGCTGGTGCATACTGCTCGCAACACTTCTGCACTCCCCGACCTCATTCAGGTCGCTACCGACCTCGACATGCGCATTCGCACACGCAAGGCTGAGCGTGCGCGCGAACAGGGCAAGTCTGTTGCGACTCCGTCCGTCCCTCGTACCGCCACTGGGCAGTTCGCATCTGTGGCAACTCCCTCGACCATGCGCACCTCCCGCGACCCCGACGCGATGGACATTGATGCTGCCAAGCTGAGCGAGTTCAGGCGGTCGATGAACGGCAGGTGCTGGGGCTGTGGTGCGACTGACCACCAGAAGAAGGACGGCAACCACTCGAACGAGACTTGTCGCTGGTGCGGAGGCCGTGGCCATCGCCAGAGTGTTTGCCAGAGCAAGGCACTGGGCAGGCCACGCTTGGGCGGTCAGCAGCGTGTTGCAGCTACCACCGAGGACAGCCCGGTCGCGTTGACCTCAACGGCGAACTCCAATGTGCAGGGGATCAACGCAATCCTCGAGCAGATGCAGCAGATGACGGAGCAGCAGAAGATCCTCCGTGGCGAGCTTGAACTGCTCCAAAAGTCTTTTCCGAACGGGCCCGCTTAAGAGCTGTGGCAGCGGTGCCCCCACCCAAGGTCTCTTCTTCTTCTTTCCCTGAACCTGTACCTAGCGCGTACGATACCGTAGATAGCTGTACTATACCTGAAGCAAATCGATCCGGTTCGCATTTTCGCACTAGCGTGATAGTAAAAGGAAACGATAAGAGTGTTAAGACCGCAGCAATGATTGACTCTGGTGCGACTTCGCTTTTTGTTAGTAAAAGGTTCATAGATAGGCATGGTATTTCGGTGCACCCGTTGTTCAAGGAGATCACAGTGCACAATATCGACGGTACAAAGAACAAAGCAGGCAGTATTACGCATTTCACAAGGCTTACGTTAGGTATGGGTACATATAGCGAGCGTCTCGATTTCTTAGTTACAGATCTGGGACCAGAGGACATGATTCTTGGCTTGCCTTGGTTACGTACGGTGAATCCGGAGATAGACTGGGAGAAGGGAGAGATGCGGATTGAGACGGACGAGGAGGAGGAGGAACGGCCTGCGTTCGAGCGTATCAACGCGAACCGGGCACAGCGACGGAAGTGGCAGAAGGCAGGAGTGTTGGAGGATGCGAGGGAGGAGGTGTGGTGTGCGGCAGGCTACACCTATTCGACGCAGCTGGCAGAGGCTGCCAACAAGGGGAAACCTCAGAAGACGTTCGAGGAGATGGTCCCGGAGGAGTATCGACGCCACGCTAAGGTGTTCTCCGAGGTTGAATCAGAGCGTCTCCCTGAGTCGAAACCTTACGACCACGCGATCGACCTCAAGCCTGATGCGCCTGAGTCGATCCGCTCCAAGGTTTTCCCCATGCCTCTGAACGAGCAGGAGGAGCTTGATCGGTTCCTGGAGGACAACATGCGCAAGGGATACATCACACCTTCTAAGTCCCCCATGGCGTCTCCAGTCTTCTTTGTCAAGAAGAAGGACGGGAAGCTCCGGTTAGTACAGGACTACCGGAAGCTGAACGATGTCACCGTCAAGAACCGCTATCCGCTTCCTCTCGCCTCAGACATCGTGAACCGGCTGCGGGAAGCGAAGTACTTCACCAAGTTCGACGTGCGCTGGGGGTACCACAACGTCCGGATCAAGGAGGGTGACGAATGGAAGGCTGCCTTCGTCACTAACCGAGGGTTGTTCGAACCCAAGGTTATGTTCTTCGGGCTCACCAATTCGCCAGCCACCTTCCAAGCGCTGATGAATTCGATCTTCGCGGATCTCATTGCGCAGGGCAAGGTAGCGGTGTACCTGGACGACATCCTCATCTTCACGGACACCCTAGAGGAGCACCGTCGACTGGTTCACGAAGTACTTCAGCGGTTGGAGGAGCACGACCTCTACCTGCGCCCTGAGAAGTGCGAGTTTGAGCGGGAGGAGGTGGAGTACCTGGGGCTGGTGATCCGTCAGGGCTCGGTCAGCATGGACCCGGTGAAGGTCAAAGCCGTGCGCGACTGGCCAGATCCTCGTAACCTGCGAGATCTGCGCGGTTTCCTTGGATTTGCCAACTTCTATCGTCGCTTCATCAAGGACTTTGCTAGGCTGGCTCGTCCCTTGAACGACTTGACGAAGAAGGACGTCGCGTGGACATGGGAGTTCGCGCAGCGTCAGGCATTCCGCGCGCTCAAGGACGCCTTCATCAGCGAACCGGTTCTCGCTACATGGGCACCACATCGACCCACCAGACTTGAGGTGGACGCTTCTGGATTCGCAACGGGTGGCGTTCTGCTCCAGAAGCTCCCCGACGGCCTATGGCACCCGATCGCGTTCCGCTCAGAGTCCATGTCGGATGCAGAGCGCAACTACGAGATCTACGACCGAGAGCTCTTGGGGATCATCCGAGCATTGGAGGACTGGCGCCACTACCTTGAGGGCCTTCCTGATCCCTTCGAGATCATCACGGATCATCGGAACCTCGAGTACTGGCGTACTGCTCAGCATCTCTCACGGCAGCAAGCACGATGGTCAATCTGGTTGGCACGCTTCGACTTCGTCCTCACCCACAAGCCTGGGAAGACGAACACGCAGGCAGATCCTCTCTCGCGTCTCCCCACTCATCAGGTCACAGACGCAGAGGACAACCAGGAGCAGGTCGTACTCAAGCCAGAACGGTTCGCTCAGCTAGCTGCAACCATCTGCAGCGACACCGATCTGCTCGAGCAACGCATCCGTGAGTGCACCAAGCGCGAAGTGGAGGTTAGAAGTGGGCTTGCGGCGCCACCTCGCAAGGTGGCAAGTGGAGTGGCTGAGTGGGAAGAGCACAGGGGCCTGGTGTATCATGAAGGTCGTCTATACGTGCCGGCCGACCCAGAGCTCAGACGAGAGGTTCTTCGGCGATGCCACGACTCGGTCACAGCTGGACACCCTGGACGCAGCAGCACCCTTGAGCTCGTCAGCCGACACTACTGGTGGCCTGGGATGGCGCTCTTCGTGGCCAAGTACGTCGCAGGCTGCGAGCGCTGTCAACGCTACAAGCCAGCCCCACATCCACGCTCCACTTTGCATCCGCACGACGTCCCTGAGGCCCCCTGGAAGGTGGTGGGAGTAGACCTGGTCACTGGGCTCCCAGAGTGCGAAGGGTTCAACGCAATCGCGGTGTACGTCGACCACTATAGCAAACAGTGTCACGTCCTCCCCACACGCGACAGCGTCGACGCTGCTGGCATTGCAGACCTGCACTACCGCGAGATCTTCCGCCTACATGGTGTCCCTCGGAAGATCGTGTCAGACCGTGGTCCCCAGTTCGCCGCTTGTGTCATGCACGAACTCTACGGCAAGCTCGGCATTGAACATGCACTCACCACTGCGTACCACCCTCAGTCTAACGGACAGACCGAGCGAACGAACCAGGAAGTAGAGCAGCACTTGCGCCTGTTCGTACGCAAACGGCAAGACGACTGGGTACGCTATCTGCCAACTGCCGAGTTCGCACTGAACAGCCGAATCCACTCTGCGCACAACCACACGCCCTTCGAGGTCATGTACGGGTACAAGCCAGACTTCACGGTACCAGTGGGAACAGAGACTCGCTTCCCTCATCTCGAGGATCGTCTAGAGGGCATGCGCCAAGCACAGAAGGACATTGAATCAGTGCTGCGCGCAGGCAAGGCGAAGATGAAGGTCCACTTCGCAGAGGAACACCCTCGTGATCGGAAGGCATTCGAAGTCGGAGACAAGGTCTGGCTTAGCGCAAAAGACATCAGTGTGCACCAGGCAACGCGCAAGCTTGGTGTCCGGCAGCTGGGACCCTACAAGGTGGTCAAACGCGTGGGTGACCTAGCCTATCGTCTCGAACTCCCACCCACGCTCAAGATCCACCCGGTCGTACATGTGGATCGGCTGTCCAAGTATGGAGGGAACGAGGTGAACGGGCGACGAGCACCACCACCAGAGCCGGTGGAAGTGGATGGAGAGGAAGAGTACGTGGTGGAGAGGATTCTGGACAGTCGGTTCTTCAACCGCCGGCTTCAGTTCCAGGTGCGGTGGAAGGGATATGGAGAGGGTGACGACTCGTGGGAACCAGCGGCGAACGTCGCCAATGCCCCAGAGAAGGTCGCAGAGTTCTACGAGCGTAATCCCAACGCGCCTTGCAAGATATCTGCGACTCTATTCGCCGCGCTGCCGTGGAGGAGGGTTGAGCACCCTGAGCACGCAGAAGCGGAGAAGGAAGACTGGCAGGAGGGGAGGATCATGTCCATCCGGGACGGATGGGTTTTAGGAGGGGGGTAATGTCGTGGAACGGACTCTGGACTCGCCCTATGTATTATTTTTCGCCTTTTCCTTGCCTTTTCTCTGCCTGCTACTATATTGGAAGGTTGTTCCCGCGCTTAAGCGCCCGTATCGCGGACTCTCTTAGCACTTGCACTTCGTGTCCTAGCCCTCATCTCGACCTCTTGGTCTTTGTGGGCTAGGTGAGTATCTCGATTGCCTGTATGTCTGTAGAGCTATGTTAACTTGGTCTTTGTGGGCTAGACATCCCTCGCGTGACTCTAGTTTGCGTCTGCTTTGCGCCTAGTGCCGGCAACGCCTCTGCACCACTACATCGAGGTCATCCAACCTCCATCTCTACCCATCCACCCCTCCCTCTCCTCCGATTGGCGTTCGCGGCCTGCTCCCGCGTCACACGCCTCCTCGAAAACAAGTGCCTCAGGAGGGTGCTGGAGTGGCAGAGTGGTGAGTGCTGGCCCACATCACACATTACGAGAGACTGAAGGGGCTATCTACAGCGGGAATGGCGTCACACTATCCACTGGTGTGGTCGAGCCTTCGCAGCACCCTCATGTGCCTCCGCTCCCATATGCCCGACCTGCGCTTCAACTTCCCAGGCTACACAATATACCCCGCGTTTTCTGTGAATGTCGGGCCACGCACGCTGTGTGTGGACCATCTCGATAGTCTTAACTATCCAGGTATCCCCTGGACGGTGACGGCCCTCGGAAACTTCCTCCCTGACTTCGGAGGTCACATGTACCTCCCACAGCTCTCCCTCTACATACGATTTCCCCCAGGTTGTACGATTTACCTTTCTTCAGCCGCCCTCCGGCACGGGAACACCCAGACCCTCGAGGACGGCCGGGAGCGCTATTCAGTGACTCAGTACGTCTCAGGTGGTGTGGTGTGTTACGTGCAGGCCAACTTCCAGAAGGTTGGTCCGATGTCGGACAAGGAGAGGTATTTCATGGACGGTAACCCTGCAGATCGCTGGTTGGAGCAGATTGGTCGCTTCTCCACGCCTGAGACCCTGTTTGCTGACCGTTTGAAGCTGCTGCGCAAGCACCCTCGTTCCGTTATCACCCAGGCTGTATAGATATTCTTTTTGCAATTCATACATCGTTATCAAGCCCTTCTGTCCACGAGCATGAAGAAACATAACCAAAGGCCTCTGTGATCTCAGTGACACCACTGTACCAGTGTTAGGTCGAGCTAGACAACCAACGCGCACATGTGTGCACTACATCAGCAAAAGGTGTTTTTAACAGCAGCGCCCGATAGCACGCGACACTGCCATATCGGGACAGGTCGTCTATTGTCTGCGTGACAAGTGATGGTAGCAGAACGGTAGCAGCTGGTATTCATTCGTCTTTACTATGAGGTTCAATCAAATATTGTGGCCGCAGACAGGATATGATGGATATACAACAGGCACAAGTAGCTTGAACAGAAAGCTGTAGTCGATGATAGTAAACGATCATGCGTTCCTTCAAGGGTGAATCACGGGGCGCGCGGGGTGCATAAGAGGTTCGTATTTAGCTATACGGTCGGCTCGTGAGGACGCGAACACTGCGCGCGGCAGAGAACGCGATGCGCGCGACGATATGCGGACGGACGTCGGCGCGGGCGCCTGTTCCGCTTACGCGCCGCGCGCGGAGTCCTCTGTCTGGCATCGATGGCGAGCCCCATCCTCTGTTCCCTTAATCTTTCTTGACACCTTTTACCCCTTTCGTTGCTCTGTTTACACGCAAGCGCGAGCTCGTGAACTGGAGCAAGGCCTACTTCGCGGACCACCACTAAGAGAGTCAGCGGAGTGCTCTGTTTGATGCTCTCATTGTCACGAGCTGCGCGGCAAACTCTCGCACAGGGCACTGGGCGAGGGGTCGAGAGTTAAGTCAAGATATATACATCGCTGGGGCCCGAGACGTACAGAGGTCCGTGTTAGTAGCGACATTCTGAAGTCTAAAAGTTGCTTGCAGTGATTTCTTTGCTAATTGTTGTGACCCGATGCGGCGGCGCCGCAGTGGCGTCCCGCTTTGGCCTCTCTATTGTTTCCAGACACGGGCGCGTGTGCTGGATTGCGTGCCTACTGGGCTTTATCTGCGACCACCATCATCCCCCAAGCACAATGTGCCACTCACACTCGCGCGCGATGTATCAAGACACAGTCACTTCTTCCTCACTCATCAGTATAGGCTCGCTCACATACACACTTCTGTCGACATCAACATGGCTTTTAACACCGCACTCACACCGGCGAAAACCCGCGCCCTCAAGACTGCGGGTACAAAGGTACGCTTGAGTACTTACGTTGCTTATGGACACGGGTCGGTCACATGTGAGGCCTGATTCCTCAGCCTCGCCGACAGTTTCGACGCGGCGCGGCGCGCTCCCATGCGAGCCAGCGACCCAACACTGACCATTTGCTTGCCACTGGGGATTCAAGGCGATGTGGAGGTGGTGCGGCAGCCACCGGCTCCGTGGGAGCACTGTGTACAGGTATGTCTTCAGAACGTCCGAGCGCGGCAGGCGAGCAGGATATCACGGTGTACCGCATGGTCGAGCCCGCGCATCCTGAGCTCCTGCTGCTAGATCTGCGCGTGACCACTTCCGGTAGGCGTTGCTGAACGTGCACGACGTGTCCGCCCCGAGCAGCCACCCGTTCTGCAGAGGCAGCAGCTCACTGGTTTGTGTTCCTCTTCCTTCTCTACTGAGATCAGTTCTACAGCCGCTCAGTCCACCAAGTCCACAGCGACCTCGACCGACGAGTGACAGTACTCGCACTTCACCTGGGCGATTGCCCTGCGCAAGCAGCGGTCTCGAGTCGGCCCACATGTCCGTCTCCCACGACTACGGTGTCCTCATCGAGGACTAGGGGATCGCCCTCTGTGGGCTCCTCATTATCGACCCTATAGGGTAGGGTTCACCACAGGTGACCCTCGGGTGATTCTGACTCGACCCGCACCCGTACCCGTGCACACCCGCACCCGTGGACCCGAGGGTCACCATCCACACGGGTCGGAAGGGTATCTCACGGGTGTGCACCCGTGGCGGACACCCGCGGGTGAACAGGCCTAGGCCGTGGTGGCAGCAGTGACTTGTGAGGTGCCATTGCACGCAAGAGTGCAGTGCATGCGAGACGGCGGGGGCGAGACGGTGCGTGCGAGGGAAATGGCGCATGGGAGACGGGAGACAGCGTGGGCGAGCGGACGGCGCGGGCGATCCCTCCCCCACGGGATACGGCGTGGGCGAATGACGGTGTGGGCGAGACGGTGCGGGCGAGTTGAAGGCAGGGCGAGAAGGCGTCACGGGTGAGAGATGGCGTGGGTGCGAGAGAGCGCGAGCGAGATGGCGTGGGCAAGAATACGCGAGCGAGACGGTGCAGACGGTGTGGGCGAGATAGCGAGACGGTGCGAGCGAGATGGTGCAGGCGAGAAGGCATGGGCGAGAGAAGGAGAGATGGTGAGAGACAGTGCGGGTGAGACAGTGCGGGCGAGAAGGCGCAGGCGCGAGAGACGGCGCGAGAGACGGCGCGAGAGACAGCACGGGCGAGATGGTGTGAGGGAGATGGTGCGAGGGAGACGGTGCGAGGGAGATGGCGCACGGGAGAGGGGAGACGGCGCGGGCAAGAAGGTGCGGGCGAGAAGGAGTGGGCGAGAGACGGTGCGGGCGAGACGATGCGGGTGAGAGACGGCACAGGCGAGACGGTGCAGGCGAGACGGTGCGAGGGAGACGGCGTGGGCGAGACTCCAGTGCGGGAGAGATGACACGGGTGAGAGAGATGGCAGGGCGAGAAACGGCGAGAGGCGGTGCAGGCAAGATGGTGCAGGCAAGACAGCGTGAGCAAGAAGGCGTGGACAAGAAGGCGTGGACGAGAGACGGCGAGAGACGGCGAGAGACGGTGGGAGACGGTGGGAGACGGTGTGGGCAAGACAGTGTGGGCGAGAGACTGCGCGAGGGAGATGGTGGGAGACAGTGCGGGCGAGAGACAGTGCGAGAGACGGCATGGGCGAGACGGTGCAAGGGAGACTGCGCAAGGGTGACGGCATGGGCGAGACGGCATGGGCAAGAGACGTTGGGAGACGGTGTGGGCGAGACGGTGTGGGTGATCGGAGATGGTGTGAGAGAGACGGCACAGGGGAGACTGCACAAGGGAGACGGTGCGGGCGAGATGGTGTGCATGAGGGGTACTGAGTGGTATACGTACATGTACTTATTCTAGTCCGACATCTCATCGTCCGATGCGTCAATGCGGTCCCATTCATCATCCATCTCGTAGTCGTCGCCCGACTCGTCGATAACCTCAAGCTTGCCTATATCCTTCATGACGTTCTTGTCGATTATTTCAAGCTGTGACCACGCCCCGAGACACCGCAGCGCACGCGTTGTCTGTGCAGACATGCGGTTGCGTGTGTAGGGAATGAGGTGCCGGCCGCGGCTGAAGACACGTTCGACATCGATAGAGGTAGCTGCGGGGACATCAAAGTAAGTATCAATGGGGGATGAGGGGACGACAAAGAAACATACCTGGGATAGTGAGATAGTCGAGGGCCATCCGGCTGAGACGGGGGAACCGGCTCGCGTTGTCTTGCCACCACTGGATAGGGTCTGTCCCCTCGTCCTCACACGGCATGGCAAGGTACCGTGTCAGCTCGTCACGGGTAGCACCAGAGGTCGTGGACTTCGTAGGTCTGCTGGGCATGAATGAAATGGTGTCGAAGATGTTCGTGTTGTAGCTGTCGCGCTGGAAATGTTCAACGTCTCGTGTGGGCGACACTGAGGAGTGAAAAGGACGAATAGTGACGTACTGGCTTCGCCTTGGGAAGTTCCTCCACTGGGTTGTTGTTGTCATCCTCAGAGTTGCCACTGTAGGAGACGTCGAACTCGTTGCGCACGAGCTCTTTTGCCGTCTCGATCCAGGCCGGCTCCCACTTCAGCGTCTCGAAGTACTCGAGCTTATATGCAGGGTGGAGAACTGAAGATGCGGGTTCAACCTCAGCACGATATGCAAAATCGAAGCGAAAAACTCACCCATAGCGATGGGGTAAGTTTCAACAGAGTCGGTGAGTTCATAGTACTTGTTCAGCATCTGTTTGGCGAAGCCGAACGCGGCATGAATGGCGGGGTCGTAGGGGATACCGCCGCGGAACAGGCTGCCCGGGAGGTGCTTGGTGGTCAGGGCCTGATCAATCTTGTCCATGACCAGGATAACGAGGGCCAGGTTTGGTGTGTCGCGAGAGAAGAATTCGGTCGCATCCTTGAAGATCTAGAGGGAGCGTAGGAGTATAGCAGAAGGAGATGTCGGAGGAGCGGAGAGCGGTGTGAAAGGGGTCGGAATGGGGCAGCAAGTGGCAGTGCGCAGCGTGAGTACGGACTATACAGCTGTCAAAACAAGGTTCACACCTTCAGAGCGTCAATGAGCTGCTCCGCAATGAGCCATTCACGCGGCGTCAGCGCAAACGCACCCAGCGCATCGCTCCCCTCGTCCGACGCACAGAAAACGGTGATAGGCATGCGCAGCTCAACAGCTGCATGAACCAAGGTAAGTGTGGAGTTCCACCGCGTGCGGACGTCGATTGGGATGACCCGCGCCTTGAGCGCGAGCTGCGCTAACAGCCTGTTCCATGTAGGCATCAACACAGTCGGCGACGCCTTAATCTTGACGGCGATGGTGCGAAGCTGAGGGCAATGGGATTAAGGTGAGTTTGTTCTCTGGTGAGGATGGTTTAACACCGACCTTGGTTAGTGTCTCCCAGACAGGTGCAACATTCTCAAGAAACTCCTCCATCTCCTCCTCCGTCATCATTCCAGTATCGTCCACCCAGTTGTCTTCGTTCCCACCATACAGAGGCGCTGCAGGATCGTCAAGACTGGGATCCTCCATCCCAGGCTCAGCACCTTCACCTGGGGCCACATCCTCGATCTCGGACGACGCACCGCCGGCAGCTGTGACGCCCTCAGTGCCTGTGCCTGCGCTACCCAGTGAGTCGTCAGAACCCTCTGTGTCCTTCAGGCCATTGAAGTGCTTCAGGAGCGCGAAGCTGACTAGCTGGATCACATGCCCAAAGCATCGAACATGTCCGACACTGGCCAAGAAGTTGTCAAGCTCGTCTTCGATCTTCTTCAGCATTTTGATGTTTGCTGAGGCGTTGTCACACGCGATTCCGAGGACCTGGGAATACGGTATGTTCACATATGTTCGAGGCATTGAGATACAACCCACAGCCTACCTTTTTGTCTATTCCAAACTCCCGCAGGACACGGACGAACTCCCGAGCAAGCGTCGTCCCAGTGTGACTCTGGTGCGGCAATGTGTCAGCTCTCGTCCCGAGCAGGCCGTTCCACAGGCGGTACATACCTCGGCGATCTCTATAGCATCAAGCAGCGCGCTAACTGGCTTATCTTTGTGAATGAAGTACACGACAATGGCCATGTATGGCCGTTCGTTTGGTGCGGTCCAGCAGTCGGTCAAGAAACTAAGACGGCCTGGATATTTCTAGAAGGGGATAATGTAAGCGTCTTCATTCATGACTACAGCAATTAACGGATACGTTACACGCAGGAGCTTCCGCATTGTTGACCGAGATCCTGCAAATACGGACTTTACGTCACAGGCAACAGTCGTCGCAGACGGCACTTTGTAGTTCGGACGTCCGGTCTTCAGCAAGGTAAGTAGGTGGCGATCTTTGACAATGTTGTATGGTCTTGACGACTCCGCAACCCAGCGCGCTATCAAAATACTACCAAACAACAATCATCAGCACTGATTCTTGGCACGACGAAGGTGCAAGCACACACCGGACTTCTGTGTTTGTGTGCTGCCGGTTGGAGTACGTCACCGGTCCCTTCGCACCGTCTGCGCGCTCGAATATGACACTGATGTCCCTGCTCCGGGCCTTCGACTTCAACAGCTTCTGACGTGCGTCGTCAACAGGGAGCTGCGCGGCCAAGAGGTTGTCGACTGCTTCCTGCCCCCAGCACGAGATCGCATGCTTCTGGAGCGAACCGGTAGACGATGAGTCACCGGTATGAAGATATCGGCGCTTTTCTGGGGACTTGCAGCCCCTTCCCTTCATGAGACACGAGAAGACGTGGCAGCGCTTCCCCGTTGAGTCGTCAATGCGGGGGCGCTTCTCATAGAAGGCATAATAGGGTGAGGTCCACTTCACCACCATCCTATCTGTTACGCAGTTGTTAACCAAACTTGAGTCATACTAGTGCTGCGGTGCTGTGGAGCTTACCAAGTTCCTTCTCACCACTTGGATCACCGTTATCACTATCCGAGTCCGAGATCTCCACCGCGTCGTCGTGCCCTGTTGCAACCTTCACAGCCCGTGCGGTCGAGCTGGTTGTGGTGCGCGCGGTCAAGCCCGGCGTCTTGGTGCGCGCAGTCGAGCCTGGTGGCTTCGTGTGCGTGGCTGAGCCCGGTGTCGCAGTGCGCACGGTCGGTGTCTTGGTGTGCATGGCCGCACCGGTTGTGGTTCGCGGCACGGTCGAGTCCGTCGCGGTGCGCGGCACGGTCGAGTCCGTCGCGGTGCGCGGCACGGTCGAGTCCGTCGCAGTGCGCGGCACGGTCGAGTCCGTCGCGGTGCGCGGCACGGTCGAGTCCGTCGCGGTGCGCGGCACGGTCGAGTCCGTCGCAGTGCGTGCGGTCAAGCTGGGCAGCGCAGCGCGCGTGGTTGAGCCCGGTGTCGCGGCGCGCACGGTCGAGCCCAGTGTCGCAGTGCGCGTGGTCGAGCCTGTTGCACCGCGCGCAGGGTCTGTTGTTGCGGGGCGCGTGGCCGAGTCTATTGTGCGCGAAGTCGATTCCTTTGCGTGCTTCGTCTTGACCCTAGGACGAGCTGCTGGGACGCGTTTGCCACCTGCGACACGAGCGGGGCCAATGCTTGGAATGAACACGGTCTCAGGTGAGGCCTCGTTTGCAGCTGTTTTTGACAAGTCATTTACGGTTTTGACTGCACAGATGCGAAGGTGTCCGCAAAAAATGGAGTGACAGGCATACCTTCAGAGGTGAGTCTTGTTGACATCTCCATTATATCGCCCTCTTTTGACTCTTTCAGGCGCTTTGAAGGGATACGGGCACGCTTTGCCCCTTCAGGCAGGACCTCATTTGCAGGAGAGGCAGCCCTTTTTTGACCCGATGGAGGATTCACTGGAGTGGTGGGAGAGGACATAGCACGAAGTGGTACAAAGGGCTGCGGACAGTTTACGACGGATCTCACTTGCACGCGCGGCGTGTCTGGCCTCCAGCCACCCTTACTAAGCAACTGTATAGCTAGTGGCATTCGGCCCGACGCGTCAGCCTCAGGTGCGGTGCTAGCCGCCCAACCAGGGTGTTCAGTAGCCTCACGGGTGCCAAGGGTCCGCGGGTCCCGAGGATGAGACCCGCACCCGCACCCGTGGTACCCAGACCCGGGAACCCGCACGGGTCACCCGGACCCTTGGTGATCCCTAACCCCCTCGTCCTATCCCTTTCTCCCACGTCAACCCACACATTCCCTTGTCCACGACCCCTCCCACTTCCACAACTCCGCCCCCCCCGTCCACGCAAGCTCCTCCCATCAAGGACATGTACTCGCACCTCGACGACAGCTCGTACCTGAGGTTCGCCGAAGCGGTGGACAAGGACTACGACATCTGGGTCCAGAAGGAGGTGGACGCGCGCGCTCTGCTCTACGAGAGTATTCCTGACGACGTCTACATCAATATCCGTGCTCAACCGAACACCGCCGACGCGTGGGCGGCCATCATTCGCTCTTTCGAAGGCAAATCGATCATGTACCAGAACAGTCTTCGCACCCAGATGCAGAACATGCGCTGCGCGCCCGACGGCAACCTCCGCGAGCACCTTGCGAAGCTCGCGCAGGCGCGCGAGACCCTCAGCAGCTACGGCGGTACACTCTCGGAAGAAGAGTACAGCGCCATGATCATCGCGAGCTTGCCAGAGACCTACCATGGCCGCGTCAACTCACTCGTCAATGCCGCACACGTCACCGGCCACTTGCTAAGCATCGGCATCCTCATCCACACCCTAGAGGAAGAATACGACCGACGCAACGAGGCGTGGGCATCAGGCGAGGCCGCACTCACGACCGGGAGCGCGACCGGTAGGCCGGTATACAAGTGCTACACCTGCGGACGACCGGGACATGTACAGAAGTACTGCTGCGCACCGGGCGGCGCGATGGAGGGGCAGCCATGGCCGAAGGCGAAGGGTGGCAACACTGGCAACAACGGTGGAGCCGGGGGCAACACAAGCGCAGGCGCGCCCGGCAACACCGCCGGAGGAGGTGCGGGCGCAGGCAACAACGGCAAGAAAGCAGTGGCCTTCGTTGCACTACAGAACATCGCGGGCACGCCGCTTGCTGCGCACCCGGGCGAATACGTCGAAGTCTACGACAGTGGCGCATCTGCGCACATCTCACCTTACCGCCATTGATTCCTCAATTATCGCACTCTCACCCCCACCTGCCCCATCACTGCTGCCAATGGAGACACTTTCGACGCCGTCGGAGAAGGCGACATGGAAGTCTGCGTCCTCAACGCGGACGGTTTGCTGACCACCATCACCCTGCGCGACATCCTGTATGCTCCTAACATTGGGTTCTCCCTCGTCTCCATCCGCAAAGCCGACGAGGCGGGGTACTCTGCCATCTTCGCGCATGGAGAGTGCAGCCTGCAATCGCGCGAGAGTGGCGACATTGTCGCGCGCATCCCGTCCTACCACGGCCTATACCAAATCATCTCATGCTTTGCCGACGAACGCGGAGACACCACCACCCCCGCACCAGGCACCGACGACGCAGCGGCTCTGAGCACTCGCCCGGCCAAACGCGGCCCGCTCACCATTAGCATCATGGACCTCCACTGTACTATGGGCCACATCTCGCTCCGCACCGCCCGCGATATGGTCAAGCATGGGCACACGGACGGGGTCACACTATCTGACGCAGATGTCATGGCGCAGTGCAAGACCTGCGTGCAGGCCAAGCTCACACACAAGGCAATCCCGGACACCGCACACGGGAGCGCCCACGATATCCCCGTGACGACCTATGGCGACAAGCTACACTCCGACGTCTGGGACGCAGGAGAGCCATCACTTGGGGGCGACCGCAAGGCAGTCGTCTTCATCGACAACCACACGGGTTGGGTTCATGCCGTGACACTCAAGTCCACCTCTGGTACATACCAGGCTTACCTCAACCCAGAGGCGGAGCTCAAGACCCAGCGCGGGATCACTCCGAAGTGGCTCCACTCTGATAACGGCCCCGAGTTCGTCGGGCTTCATCCTCACCTCGCGGAGATGGGCACACACTGGTCAGCTTCTCAGCCACATACCCCTGCGCAGAATGGCCGCACGGAGCGCAGTCTTCGCACGCTCCGCGAGCGGGTTGCCGCGATGCTCCTGGACTCCAGCTTGCCGCTCACACTGTGGGCATTCGCGTTCCGCTACGCGGCATTCCTCCACAACCGCACGGCGCGCGGTGGGCCATCCCCCTACGAACAGCGCTTCGGCACACCCCCATTCCTTGGGGGCTTGCGCCCATTCAGGGAGCGGATGTGCATCTACGTCGAGCACACGCGCAAACTGGCCCCAAACACTCAGGACGCGCGCTTCGTTGGGATGAGTACGCACCACAAGGACTCGGCGCTGGCATACGTCCCACACACCCACAAGGTCATGCTCACACACTCTTATGTGTGGGATACCGGGAAGGAGCTTGGAGCGCCGGAGCCTGGCTTCGAGGATGCAGAGGTTGCGGAGCGCACCCACGATGGGAGCGAGGGGGCGCAGAGTGAAGACGTCACGGACAACGCTCCCACCGTGGGCACACATGATGAGGAGACAGCCGAGCAGGGGGCGCGCGAGCAGGGGGCGCATGGGCAGGGGGCGCGTGAGCAAGGGGAGCACGAGCAGGGGGCGCGCGGGCACGAGGAAGACAACGGCATGAACCAGGAGAACGGAGTGGGCGAAGAAGAGGAGATTGAGGTGGTGGAGGAGGCGCCGGTGGAGGAGGAGACGCTGGGTCGCGGGCACCGCGTACGCCAGCCCTCGCGCTGGCTGCGCGACATCCAGGACGGGATCGGGACGACAGACGCACGCACGCACGCGAACACGGCTCACGCTAAGGACGTCATGGGTGAGCTCTTTGCGCTCGCTAGCACCATCCCAGACGCCGTGGACGCACCGCAGCCCGAAACCACGTCCCTCGATGAGGCATACCGCTGAGCCGCGCATTACGTGCTTGGTTTGGTCCAGCTCGGCGACGATCCGAAGAACCTGCACGAAGCTCAAGCGTCACCATACTGGGGACAGTGGGAGGAGGCGATTCAACGCGAAATGGATAACCTCCGCCGCCACCTGTGGTTACCACTAATGTAATACAATCCCCCAGGAACGTGGGCACTTCATTATGCTGATACCCACCACGTTTTCATTGTAGAAAAGCCTGGTTGGGTTCTAACAATCACAAGCATGCCTGTGTTGTAATAACAGGTAGGTGTCGCAGAGTTGTTACCGTAGTCTCTTATGGCTGTCATAAGCGTATTCTATAATGACAGGGACCTCCCTAGGCTGTCATAAGCGTATTCTGTAATGAAAACGACCTCCCTGTGTTGTTATAAGCGAATTCTATAATGACAGGGACCTCCCTAGGCTGTCATAAGCGTATTCTGTAATGAAAACGACCTCCCTAGGCTGTCATAAGCGTATTCTGTAATGAAAACGACCTCCCTGTGTTGTTATAAGCGAATTCTATAATGACAGGGACCTCCCTAGGCTGTCATAAGCGTATTCTGTAATGAAAACGACCTCCCTGTGTTGTTATAAGCGAATTCTATAATGACAGGGACCTCCCTAGGCTGTCATAAGCGTATTCTGTAATGAAAACGACCTCCCTGTGTTGTTATAAGCGAATTCTATAATGACAGGGACCTCCCTAGGCTGTCATAAGCGTATTCTGTAATGAAAACGACCTCCCTGTGTTGTTATAAGCGAATTCTATAATGACAGGGACCTCCCTAGGCTGTCATAAGCGTATTCTGTAATGAAAACGACCTCCCTGTGTTGTTATAAGCGAATTCTATAATGACAGGGACCTCCCTAGGCTGTCATAAGCGTATTCTATAATGAAAACGACCTCTCGGGGGTGCTCCGCCTGTAACAACTCTATCGGCCCGGCGATCTCCTGGATTTCCTCTTTTAGAGATCATATCCGACTCCACGGCTATCGGGCGCCTCCACGCCTGCCCTCGATTCCTGGCGGCTTACAGCCACGGTTCTGGGATTAATCCAGCCTCGCGTGGCAGCGCGACCCGAAGATATGTTAAAAGAGTGCTAGGAAAGGTCATGCGCTCCGTTTTTGGCTCTGTATATGCCATAGGGGCAAGGCAAATGTGAATTGCGGTGTTGGATCGCGCGGCCAGCTCAAATGCACACCCCCGCCCGGTGGGCTCCTCGACATCCTTCACCTGCATAGGCTTGCAGTATACCCAGCTACGCCAATGTTTACCCTGGCGCAGACCTTCGCGACTTGTCCCGCAGGACCTTCGCGATTTATACAGCAGCGCGCGCGGCCACACTCTGTACTGCAGCGCACACCGCCGATTCAGCCCGCGCGTGGGCCACGATCCGTGCGGCCGTACGCGCCGCTTCTGCCACCCTGCCGCGGACCCATCGGCAGCATTTCGTGCGTGAACGCGTCGCACGCATCTCGCGTCACCGTTGTCGCGCCAGCATCCCCATTCACCGGGCTGCCCGCCACACACCCGCCTGTGCCATCTTATCGAGGGGAGAGTGGTCATTTTTATTAGCAAGCCATGCGTGTAAACTCGACCGATACAACATGAGAGGAAGTTCAAGAAAAGACATCAGCTACGGCACCGACGTGCCATTCTAACGAGACGACCGTGTCTTTTTAACCGTGACATGATCGTCCTGCCCCTCCTCCAATCCATGCTTCCCGCCGCTACTCACATCTTGCACAGACCCGGAGGAAGGGCTCGCGGCAGCGAGAGATGACGCGTGCGGGGATGGCATCGACGGAGGGGTTGAGAACGGATGTGTCGTGATGGAGAGTGACGTGGCGGACGCGGAAGAGGGGTCCGTCGGCGTGGGCACGGAGGAAGACGTCATGGGTTCAGGCGCGGAGGACGGCGTCGTCGGTGTGGGCGCGGAAGACCGTGTCGTCGGCGTGGGCGCGCAGGAAGGCGTCGTGGGCACAGACGCGGAGGTCGGTGGCGCGGGCACGGGCGCAGGCGTGGGCGCGGAGGACGCCATCGTCGGTGTGGGCGTGGAAGACGGTGCCATCGGCGTGGGCGCGGAAAACGGTGTCGTCTGCGTGGACACGGAAGAAGGCGTCGTCGGCGTGGGCACAGAGGACGATGGCTCGGGCTCGGGCGTGGATGTTGTGGACGGCGGGGCAAGTTGAATGAGAACCCAAGTGACATCGTCACTGACCTCGAGGAGAGCAGGGTCGTCTCCATGCTGGCTCAACCACCAGGCGAGACACATGATGACAACGAATATGCCATTGGCACCTCCGAGTTGCAGGGATACCCAGTTGGTGTCATCGGTGACTGCACGAGGAAGAGGCCACTCGGAGTCCGTGGAGCGACGACAGCCAGGTTGGAGATGCGTCCACCACCGCTTGAAGGTGACCGCGAAGTGGGCAGGGTTCTTGATCGTGGGAGGCTTGGGATAATGGCGTCCGCGACTGATCCAAAACTTCACCTCTTCGGGACGATCCTTCGAACTAAGATACTTCTTGCTCGGCTTCGATTCAAATGTCAGGAAACGGCTCGCAAACGAAGGCATGTGCACCCACCTGCTCAGTTGCGTGCTCCATCTTGTCCTCGAACCTCCGCCAATGGACGAGCAACTCCTTCCACCACGATACCCCGCTCACAGCCTCTAGATACGTCATGGCGTCGACCATCCAAGGCTGAGTCGGTGGGGATGCGTCGACGATTGCGATGGCCTCTTCAGCAGTCTTGCCTGCGGTGATTTGAGCCATGAGAGCACGATTGCGAGCAACCGTCAGGTTTCGCTCCTCGTCATAGCTCCTCACTCGCTGGGACGGATGGGGAGTCGGCGTGTCAATAGGAGCGTGGGGATGAGGCACCGAAGACGAAGATGAGACTGAGGACGATCCGGGCTGCGGAGTTGGGACGACGAGGGTGGGGGCAGAGGAAGAGGCATGCGTCGCCACAGGCGTTGCGCGTCCCTCGGTCCCGTCCGCAGAAGCGCCGGCCGCTTCTTCTCCGCAGACCTTGTCGCCGGCATGGTATAACTTGGCCAGATTACCAGGAAGCTGCGGGTCTGTATGATCAGGTTAGCGCGAGATACCCTCGCATAGGACACTGTGAGACTCACCGAAGGATTTAGCGATGAATTGGTCGAATGACTCCTGGACCATCCCCCAATTCTCACAGGAGTGGGACCAAACACTCTTCGTGGTGAGGGTGTTGCCGTTCATGATGCTGCAGGAGTGAAGGTAAGCTGTTTGTCTCAACGCGGAGTGTGATACTCATGACGTACGCAAGAGTCATCAGGTCTCCGGTCTGCGGGCATGGTCCACCCAGGAGAAGCCCACCCTTGAAGCCGGTCTGGTCCTCCAACGATTTGAGGGCCTCCATCCCGGTACGCGCAAGGCTGTTGATGGAGCTAGTGCACGCCGTTCAGTGATCCGATCCGAGCTGAACCACACGGAAAGGTACGTACTGTTGGAGTGCCCTCACCTTCTCACTCGCGCACGCTGGGCCTTCACTCACGATCTCGTCGAAGGTTGTCGGATGCCGCTCGGAATAGTGCTTCTCGCGATACTGTTCGACCTGCTCCTTCACGCCCTTGGGCTCCGCAGCGAGCAGGCGCGCGCTCTCCTTGTTCTGGAACGCCCACCAGTCGAGAGGCGGGTCGTCGAGGGCGATCGAATGCTGGCCGCTGAGGTACGTCTGGTAGTTCTCTTTCATGTGCATCTTGAGCATGTCTTTGAACAGATGCATATACGCTTGATGCGGCATAAGCTTCTGGGGCTTCTTGCGCTGAAGCTCGAGGAGTGGGACCGTTTTGCTAGTAGTGCCACCAACGGCGCCGCCCTTACCCCCGGTCGCGTTCGCTCGGGAACGGTTCCTGAACCACCATTCGATTTGCTGAATAAGGTGTGTGAGTCCTCGTACCATGGGTATCAGGATATGAACGTACTGCGCGCATCTTGGTGAACTTAGCGTCTTTGGCGTCTTCGTTGCTGCCGTCTGCGGCTTCGATTTTGTCGGCGGTGGGAAGAGGGAGTGGCCATTCCTTCACGAAGAGCTCGGCCGTGGCGTTGAAGAAAGCTCGAGTGGTGCCGTCGGTCCGTGCGGTGGAGAACGCTTCTTGGCGACCCGACAGCCACTTCTCCTGCTCGACGGTGGCCCACTTTTTGCGCGTCATCGTAATTCGTAGGAGGGACGGGGGTCGAGTGGTTTGAGAGCAGGTGGGCGTGTGCGGTTGGGATGGTTTGAGGGCGGGGTAGCAAGGAAGTGCGGTCAACAGTGGTACGTGCTTCACTGTGTTCATATCGTCCTCGCTCACGCTGTCCCGGTAACGGCATGGGTCCGTGCGTTGTCAATGAATCCCTTATTTAACCCCCCGGACGGGGTCGCTCCCCTTCCTCAGCAATCCTGCCATCTCTTTCGACATGCGACTCTCATCCACGCCGCCCGTGTTAGACCAGAGCTGTCACCAAGTTGCAACTCCCTTGCCGACCACGGATGGTGAGTAGTTATCGCCGCCTTACCGGGGGCGAGCAAGGCTGACACCTACTCATGTAGAGCCGGATGCTGGTGCACACAACATTCATCGCCCTGGTAAAGACAGCGCAATGTTCGAAGGGTCGCTCCTTGGACTCGAAGCTCTGTCCTTGGAGGACATCGAACCGTCTGTCCCGCAGCAGGCCGTCACCCATATCCCTCCCCTGCCGGCTCCCCGCTCGGTTGTTGAGGTGAACGTTTATCGTGGCGGTATCGTCAACATCTACGCCCGCACGGGCGAGGATGCCCGTGGGCGACGCATCGACCAGGGCACCCCAAACACGACTAGGGATTACCTTTTTCGTGGACCGACGGGTACCACGATGTCGCCTCGTGTCCCCGCTGGTTCCCACCCAGGCTCGGCCCTCGCGTCCCCTCTTCGCCGCTTCGAGGTGCAAGGTCAACGTCACGCCGCCCAGGGGACCCACCGTACACCAATCCTCGGCGGTGCCGGTGTCAAGGACGAGCTCTCCTCGTCGTTCGGCAGCATGCCGTCCTCCGCCGGGACTCTGGGAAGCCTCCCGATTTCCTCTGTGACGTCGCCGCCCGTTGTATCTGCGGCCGCGCTGCCTGTCGTCTCCACGGCCGCACTTCCCGTCGCCGCTGCGGTACCGCCACCCGTCGTCTCCGCTGCGGCGGCGCCCGTCGCCTTTGCGACCCCGCCGCCTAACCACGGACACACGAATGGTGGAATAGGTGAGTGATCCGCAGTGTATTACGCCGTCAACGCTTACGCCGACCACCACCGTGCAAAGATAATTACGAGAACATCGACGCCCCCGACCCCCAGCACCGCAAGAAGTGGTACGTCGTCACTGCGGGACGCCAGGTTGGGATCTTCAAATACTGGGACGACTGCTGGATGAACGTCCGAGGCGTGCGGAACAACTGTTATAAGTCGTACAAGACCCGCGAGGAGGCGGAGACCGCGTACGATCGCCAGAAGAAAGCCGGCCGGCTCACCGTCGTCTCTTCCTAGATGAATCAGTAGTACCATAGAACAAGCCCGGTTGTCCTTTGAAATTCACCGCATCGACGTCCGTGTAGCACCGTGAATAAATTGTTCTTGCGGCTGATAACAACATTCACTAAAAGAGCGAGACGGTTTGACTCAAGAAGGTACCGGGCCCTGGTGCGCATTTCTTGCGGCGAGCAAACCTGCCACGAACAGCGAGAGAGATAGTAACAATGTTCGCAAAGAGAGCGAGACGGCATGGCTCGGACTGTGGCGAACGAACCTGAGGACGGCGAGGGGGATAATAATGCTCGCAGAGAGAGCGAGACGGCCTGGTGACTCGAGAAGGCATCGGGCTCTGGTGCGCATATCTGATGGTAAACAAACCTGAGGACGGGCTCGGAGCCGGAGTTTTTACTCTACCATCGGGCCCTCGGAAGTAGGACATACAGACATGTTCGACTCGGGGCAGCTTACTACGTCCACGGATCATGTGGAGACAAGTTCAAGGGAAAGTATCCTGGCACTTCGTTACCGGCGTAGACGCAGGGAGCGAATCCTCCTCGCAGATCCTATCTGCACGTACTAGAGTACTGGGAATCGATCGGAATCTACTGGTTCTCAACCACAGTGCACACAATAAACACTTCTTGGCAGCATTCTGATCAGTACGGAATGGATCTAACGTGTAGAAGAAGTCAAGACTCACTGAATCTGCACAGGGGAACGGAGAGCAGAAGCGACGCGTTTGACTCGCTGCATTGCATCTGCACACAGTTCTGCGCACTCCGATTCAGCCGTACTCTAGTATTACAGCACTCCAACAGTTCATCTGATATCGATATACTGTCTATCTACGACCATGCGTGCATGAAACGAAGAAATATGTAGCAACTAGGCATGATACCATCCGCAGACGGAACATGGGGGTAAGATGTAACCTACGGTGAGTGGGACTCGGACCGGCTTCCCACAAAGTTGAGTCGATATACTATACATGCTTTGGCAGGGCTCTGACTTCGAGACGTGAGCATCGAACTACGAAGGCACGGTGAATGTGTCTCATTTCTGGGCTCTTGTGGTACTGATATCATATGCTCTGTACTGGGAGCTTTGAGTTGCAGTTGCGAGAGCACGGAGTGACCGAGTCCGGTCGGAGCGGACGACTCGCACCTTGAGTTCACCGCGGACCGGCGGTACACCAGAGCTTCCGACATCTCGACATCTCTCTGCTCCTCCCCCTCATGCCAGTCACCTCTGTCAGCCTTCCCATCGTTGCACCACTTGGTTACTCCATCCATGCCACCGAAGCGTATCAACGAGTCGGCCAGTGGGTCGAAGTCCTCAAGACGAGTGAAGCCGCGTCATCTCAGCACCACGGCTGCGCTCTCGAACTCTGAGGTTCCAGTCAATCCCCCTCCCGTGGTCACGCAACAAACTCGGTCTTTTCATGTCTATTCTCTCCATGACGGTCGGCTGGGGATGCGTAACGATCATAAGAAGATACCCGTTGAACCGCCGCCGTTGGATCCCAGTCTTGAATTCGACTCCGGTGCCCCGATACTCGACATACCATCAAACCATTCGACTGGGGACGGGTCCGCAGAAGGAGCGAATTGTGGGGAAAGTAAGAAGAGGCGGAAAAAGCGCCCCGAGCTTCGTACAGCGGTGCGTCGTAAACATTCTGGAGTTCGTGTTCTATAACTCATAGGCTCATGGGTGCTGGTGCTCGTTCAGTCGAAGATCCAAGAGTGGTTATCGCTCCGACAGACCTTCGTAGACGAGCTATTGCGCTTCGAAGGATCCGAACATCTCGACCATGCGAAGACGGCTTCATGTCGAACGTGCAAGGGCGATACAGCGACTCTTCGGTGCACTCAATGTGATTCCCGACACTTGTATTGTGATTCTTGTATGCTGAGTCGTCACGGAGATTTGTTGCTGCATGTGCTTGAGGTGAGTCTTCTTTGTTCATCCCACACGAAGTGATGGCAATATGGCGATTGGGATAGAGACTGGAGGACGGCAGGTTCAAGAAGACAGATCTACGAAGTCTGGGTGTGGTCGCACAACTCGGTCATGATGGCGATCCCTGCCCTAGCCCCTCCACGCAGACACGACACATGGTCATCGTCGACACGGACGGCATGCACGACGTTGAAGTCCGTTTTTGTGAGTGCCTCGACGGCGGGGACAACACGTTCACCTTTGAGTGGGTACAACTTTTTCGTAAGGGGTGGTTCCCCGCAACTACTCAGCGGCCTGCTACTGCGATGACATTCCGGATGCTCGACTTATTTCAAGAGCTCAATTTTCAGGCCAAGACGAATCTGCACGACTTCGAAAGAACTTTGCAGAGGATCACGGATAACTCAGGGTGTGCCCCGTCGCTGGTGAGTCTCCGTCTTCACGGTTCCTCCTCTGTGCTTCGAGCACGGACATGCGGTAGCTGATGCTGATCATTCTCAGAGCCGCTACAAGCAGCTCTCGCATTGTGTACGGCTGTGGCGTCATATTGTCGCTCTTAAGCGAGCCGGGCGCGGTCATGATCCAGCCGGCGTCGAATCGACTCAGCCTGGCGATCTCGCTGTGGAATGTCCGGCATGCCCACACACCGACAAGAACCTCCCTGAAGGATGGGCGTCCGCTGACGACAACACAAGGTGAGTCACCGCGCTAGCTTATTGTCGCTTTTCATCCCGGTTCAGGCGTGTTTACTAGGCTTCTCTAGATGGCTCTATACCCTTTTTCTTATGATGGACGGCAACTTCCGTGCGCGGCTCAAAGATCGCGGCCTAGACAGCATCCAGCTATCCCTCGGATGGGCCTACTTCGTCGAATCGAACGCTTACACAACCTTCATTAACTCGATCGGAGATCAGACGGAGGTGAGTGCAGCAACACTGAATTGTATCGAAACGGACTTCTAACAGTCTCCATTTAGAAAAGCAGCTGTACCGTCGAACACAAGGCGATTCTCAATGCCAATACCCGACGAGAAGGTTACATCACATCAGGGGTCGGAGCTATCTTGTGCGCACGCCATGCGCTGTGCCGCCGAAGCGGCATGGGCGACATCTTCCTCGGCGAGAAGTAAGTGCAGGTACGGTACTTTTGAGCAACAGCGATGCTGAACACGTTTCGCAGATACGCAATCTTCGACTATCTGCTGTCTTCGACAGTTGCAGACTCGGACACTCCGCAATTGTTGATATCGTACGATCTCGCGTGCCAATGGCACAAGCACCTCTTCAACCGCATTACCGCCCTTCCCAAGCCCCTTGACAGCGCCCTTGACAACGTCAGCATGCGTTTCGCCATCCCGAAGAAGCACTGGCATGTTCATGGCGCCCATCACGCGCAGTGGTCCTTGAATTACCTGCAGCGCGTCGCGCGCACGTATGGGGAAGGTATTGAAACTCACTGGGGTCATATGAACCCTGTGCATACCAGTACGAGTGAGATGGAGCCTGGAGGCCGGCATGAAGTCGTTGACGACCACGAGAGCTCTTGGAATTGGCAGAAGATTATCGGATTTGGTGCGTGTCGGGCGTGTATGACGGCATCGCATGCTGATGGTTCGTTATTCTTAGCTTCTTTTTTTCTCAAGAGCTTGAAAGAAGCGGATAACATGAGCCAAACACAACAGAAGAACCATGAAGACTTCACCAGCAACTTGCCACCGTCATCCAGGGATGCCGTTCAGCAATGGGAAGATGAGCTGGCGGCCTGGCAGGACGACCCTTCATCGGCGCCGGATCCGTACGAAGAACCACGCCCGAGTGAGTGTCATCATGCTGATACGACACTATGACCAATCTGATGGACTCACGAACTGTCAGCGGTAACGCTCAAGACTGTTCGTCTGGAGATTGCCACGCAAGAGGCCGTCGAGCTGCATGATGGCGTGCTCCCTCCTCACGAGATGTCCCCTGGAGTCTTTCTCCAAGTTGGACTCGAACTCGAAGAGCAGCAGTATGTTTTTAAATTGTTTACGCTATTGACACTCATAGATCTCTTCACAGGCGGGCTTTACAAGCCTTGAAGACGAAAATGAGCTCGGCAGAAGCCTCGCAAGCCACAGTGCAAGAGAAGAGGAACGCGCTCCAGCGACGCATCGAGCTTTGGCAAGCGGCTCAGGCCGTTCACATGCCGATTGCCGCGCAAATTCGTGGGTGTAGTCATACAGTGGCATCCGGAACAAGCAATGGGTCTGCGCCAGAAACATTGTTCGCGTCCGGCGTCGCCGCATCGGCGCCCTCCCCTGCCCCCAGCATGCCGCACACCCTGGCCCTGCCTTCTACGACTTCCTCTCTGCTACCCATCGCTCCCTCAACTTCCCCCGTGAACACCCCTGTTCCCAACGTGTCCGACACGCCGTCTGTGGCCGAGACGACCACTGCAACGGCTCCTCCCCCTTCGAACTTGGTATCGCCTTTCTCGATGTCAGCCACACCCGCGCGGACGCACACCAACCCGCTTCAAACGCCGGCGGCTTCACTCCCACGCTACGTGAGCAACGCCCTCGCTGAATACACACAGCTACTACTCCCATCCGCCATCCCAGCTTCACTACGGTCTCAGCTTTCACTGAGCATGCTTGACAAAGCCTGGAGGCTTCGTCTTGCGCAAGCCGATGATTCCCTTGATGATATCCGCCGTTACCTTCGTATTCTCGCCGGCATTCGGGAGTTCTCACGGCTGAACGTGAACGGGACCGGCCAGCGCACGACGGGCAGGGTGCGGTCTGTTTACTGGACTTTCCGCGACAAGATTGCCCGCGCCGCTAGCCGCTATCGAGCGGCACGTGCAGCTCTCCTCGCTTTGGACCCCCACGGCAACTGGCGAACTCGCCTCCAAGATCTCCGCCAGGACGACATTCGGGGCCCGGGTCGACCCGACGACGACAACCAGACTGGTGAGGGACGCTATCAGACCTCTTGGATCTGGTTGGTACCTCGCGCTTCTGGCGAGGCGACGGGATCATGCCAAGACATCGATCCTTCGGAGGTACTCGACAACATGAAGTACGAATGGGCAAGGAGCAAAGCGCGCGCGGATAGGTGGAGCGAGGAGGCCCAACTGTTGGAAGAGGAGATGCGCCGGGTGATCGAGTACTTTGAGTGGAAGAGTGGGTGGTGGCGGAAGCAAGGTGGGCGACGCGTTACGGACGACGCAGTGTTGGCGATGGGCTTGTCCGTGTACGCGGAGAAGCAGGCCGCCATTTTCACGGGCCTCGCGACGCGCTGTGCCACCAAATGGCTGCCTTACCTCACGACACGACCTGGCAAGACCGTTCCATCGTGGACGGAGCGGTACTCCGAGGTTGCTCCCCGGGGGGCAGCGCGTCAAGCCTCAGCGGCGTACACGTCATTGCATCCGAACATCGCGGAGGAGGTCGAGAGCGATTTGTCCGGGGACGAGTCGGACAGTGTGTAGCTTGCGTGTCTATGTACGTCCGTGTGGGAGCCATTAATGAGCGCTACAACTACGACACCATGGCGCCAATTGGCACCCCGCTGGCCGTCAAAGACTTCTGCCACGTGTGCGCGGAGCAACCGCGCACGCACACGGCGCACGCCCTGTCAGAACACGCGAGGTCTCGCTGGTCAAGGATCGCGGGATCGCGCGGCGAAGGGGCTTTGGGTAGTCTCCAGCTGTCTCCATGCGTCGTCTCAGTAGCGTGCGGACCCGGGGTAAATGGGAGGACAAGGTGGCGTGACAAATTCTGTACGCGTGTGCAGGCAGTACGGTTGAATCCGAATTTTGTTCGACGTTAACGGCGAGTGGATTCCGCCACGTATGAAGGTAAGCGCGAGGTCACGGCAGGCCGAAGCGCGAGCGGATATGCTGCAACACACATCTCGCGTGCTCCATGCCACAGTACCACCCCTGAGTTTCCTTGCTCGGGAAGGCATTCACGGAATGCAAGTGGGCTCAATTTGGTATGCAAGTACAGGTGCACGAAGCGCAGGCGTGTGGCGGGCAGCCCGGTGAATGGGGATGCTGGCGCGACAACGGTGACGCGAGATGCGTGCGACGCGTTCACGCACGAAATGCTGCCGATGGGTCCGCGGCAGGGTGGCAGAAGCGGCGCGTACGGCCGCACGGATCGTGGCCCACGCGCGGGCTGAATCGGCGGTGTGCGCTGCAGTACAGAGTGTGGCCGCGCGCGCTGCTGTATAAATCGCGAAGGTCCTGCGGGACAAGTCGCGAAGGTCTGCGCCAGGGTAAACATTGGCGTAGCTGGGTATACTGCAAGCCTATGCAGGTGAAGGATGTCGAGGAGCCCACCGGGCGGGGGTGTGCATTTGAGCTGGCCGCGCGATCCAACACCGCAATTCACATTTGCCTTGCCCCTATGGCATATACAGAGCCAAAAATGGAGCGCGTGACCTTTCCTAGCACTCTTTTAACATATCTTCGGGTCGCGCTGCCACGCGAGGCTGGATTAATCCCAGAACCGTGGCTGTAAGCCGCCAGGAATCGAGGGCAGGCGTGGAGGCGCCCGATAGCCGTGGAGTCGGATATGATCTCTAAAAGAGGAAATCCAGGAGATCGCCGGGCCGATAGAGTTGTTACAGGCGGAGCACCCCCGAGAGGTCGTTTTCATTATAGAATACGCTTATGACAGCCTAGGGAGGTCCCTGTCATTATAGAATACGCTTATGACAGCCTAGGGAGGTCACTGTCATTATAGAATTCGCTTATAACAACACAGGGAGGTCGTTTTCATTACAGAATTCGCTTATAACAACACAGGGAGGTCGTTTTCATTACAGAATACGCTTATGACAGCCATAAGAGACTACGGTAACAACTCTGCGACACCTACCTGTTATTACAACACAGGCATGCTTGTGATTGTTAGAACCCAACCAGGCTTTTCTACAATGAAAACGTGGTGGGTATCAGCATAATGAAGTGCCCACGTTCCTGGGGGATTGTATTACATTAGTGGTAACCACAGGTGCCGCCGCCACAACGTCTTCCGTGTCGTCGATCGCCCCGATAACGTCAATATCATCGACACTACCCAAGTATTCCATCAGAAACTTGACGCCGAGGGGAACATCACGGAGTTCAAGGTCCGGGTCGTCGCGCGTGGCTTCCAGCAGAAGGACTACATGGAAACCTTCTCGCCCACCGCGAAACCAGCCACCATTCGCCTCATGTGCGCACTCGCTGTGTGCAACGGGTGGCCACTCCTCCAACTCGACGTCCGGAGCGCCTACCTTCTGGCACCCCTCGAGACCCCCGTCTACGTACAGCCACCCCCAGGCATGCTTGCACCGGGCGACGAGGGGAAGGTATGGGTGCTCGACCGTGCGCTTTACGGGCTCCCACAGTCCGGCCTCGCGTGGTACACGAAGTTCAGTGGCGATCTCCGGAAGCTCGGATTCACCCGCAGCGAGCGCGACCACTGGTTGTTCACCAAGGGGGAAGCCCAGGTGCAGGTCATGCTCGCGACCATCGTGGACAATATGTTCGCGACTGGGCCACTGGAACTACTCGAGCTGTTCCACACTGCGATCAAGGAGCTATACGACGTGAAGGACATGGGCGAACCGGAGTTTGTCGTCGGCATCGAGGTCCGCAGGACGCCCGAGCCCGAGCCCGACCTCATCTACTTGTCTCAACGCGCGGCGATCAACTCACTCGTGCGCACCCTCGGTCTCACTGGCGCCAAGAGCCTGTCTTCGCCCTGGCTTGCGGGTACCACTCTGTCCAAAGATCAGTGCCCCACGACCGACGCTGGGATCGTGGAGATGAAGAGGTACCCATACCGTGAAGGGGTCGGTGCCGCCATGCACATTGCGGTCACCACTCGGCCCGACATTGCCTTCACTGTGCAGCAGCTCTCCCGGTTCATGGCCAACCCTGGGCGCGAACACTGGGAGGCTTTGAAGCGCCTTGGACGTTACCTCATCGGCACCCGGGAGCTCGCGCTGTTGTCGCGCTCTCAACCACCGAGGCAGAATACATCGGCCTGACGCACGCAGCCAAGGAGGCGGTCTGGCTGCGTGGGTTGCTCGTGGAGGCGTACGACCCGGTGTTCGCGGATTACCCTATGCGCTTGTACAGCGACAACATCGCCGCTCTCGACCTCGCCAAGAACAACGCTTACCACTCGCGCATGAAGCACATCGATTTGAGGTACCACTACATCCGCGAGTTGGTCGAGGCGAAGGACGTCGCACTTGGGTACCGGCGCACGGAAGACATGCCGGCGGACGTGTTCACGAAGGGTTTGGGACGCTCGCGCATGGACCATCTTGCCGAGCTCTACGGCTTGGTCCCTCTGCCGCGCTGAGGGGGCGTGTTGTGGTCGGCGCACGGGCAGCGCACGCGCGCAGTGGGAACAGGTCAGCGCGTCCTTGGGGCGGCTGATTGGGCCGGGCCGGGGAGGGCCAGCTATGGACTTTGATGACCGACTTCGGACTAATGAGCTCGCGCGGCCTGGGCGCGCAAGCATCGATCGTTCCCGTTTGGAGAGTCCCCGCTTCCAGATATACTGGCGGGGGCTCGTCCGGCTTCCTCACGCATCTTGCTACTACCCGCGCGCGTGAGGAAGCTGGTATGTCTCCCACACTACGCTACTTATAACCATGCACTCACATATGTACTGCGGCAGACTCTATCGTCTGCTAGGTGAATATACACGCATCTTGCTACTACCCGCGCGCGTGAGGAAGCTGACTCTATCGTCTGCTAGACGCTCTACCGTGCATAGCCGCTATATCTTCAACAGTCGTGGTGAGCGCACTAACCGGCAACAGCACCAGTGAGAAGACAGGTAATCGTAAGAAGGGTAAGAACTCTGGGTCGAAGAAAAAAGGGACGGTCCCCTCATCCTCAGCGACGTTCTCATCGCCCCCTGGTCCCGCGCTGCCCTCGTCGACCCCCGTTCACGCACCGCCCTCGTTGACCTTCGGTCCCGCCCCGCCAGTCGCGCCACTGGGCCCCCTGCCACAGCCAACTGCCTTCGCGCAGAGTGCGCCACCTGGACTGCCCTCGTCGACTCCCGGCCCCATGCTGCCCTGGTCAACCCCCGGTCCCGCTCCGCCCTCATTGACCGCTGGTCCCCCGCTGCCCTGGTCAACCCTCGGCCCCGGTGCCCCGCTTGTCTTCCCGCCAGTCGCGCCACTGGGCTCCTTCCCGCAGCCACCTGCCTTCGCGCAGAGTGCGCAGCCTGGACCCACGCAGTTCGCGCCGCCGGGCTCTTTCCCGCTGCCACTTGCTGTTACGTCGAAGTCCGAGTTCCGTCGGGAACGAGGCCTAGACGCCGAGTGGTTATGTCCGTGAGAAGTCTCTTGGTGCCGACGCGAGTGAGCACGGTGCACTATCGAGTGGACCGGCGAGCGAGCGAGGTAGAAGGCAAGCAAGAGAGATGTATTGGCACTAGGCCAGAGGGACGTAGCTAGACAAGAGGTCGAAAGATGGGGAGCGCTATGCTGCGTCGTCCCTCTTATAAGTACAAAGGCCTTGAGGCCACGGTGCGTGAGGGGTGAGGTAGCGGTGCATGTACAACGAGTCCGTACGAGTCAGCATGAGTCATGGTAATGGTATGTAAGGGGGTGTGGTACCGCGAGGTTGCCATGAGGCGTGTGTATGTCCGAGGCAAGGCTGCGCAGCAGCATGAGGCAGGGGATAGGGGTGGTGTTACAGTAGCCCCTGAGGGCACGAGGCATAGTCCGTGACGGAGATGACGAGGGGGAAGGAAAAAGGGTAGGCGTACGCATGGTGTCCATAACACTTGCCTTCACGCAGGGTGCACCACCCGGACCTGTGCAGGGAACACCTTCCCCAGCCACGCCCCCCAGTCTTGCCTTCGCGCAGACCGCGTCCCCTGCCCTCGCGCCACCCCCGGCATTCTCATCGACCTCATTGACACCGCCTCCTTTTGAGCATCTTCCAGGCTTTGTAGAGAGTGCGCCTGCGCCGGGCGGTTTCTATTTGTCTACTGTCCCTCCCCGTGCCCACAGTTATAGGTACTAGTAGTCTTATATTGCTACGCTCATAGGTCACAAGTAGCTAGCTATAAGTCTCCTAATATAAATTTGTATGGCCTTTATAATGCGTGGACTAAGTGGCACTAGACTTGACTACCAAACGGAAGTCTTTGGCCCATGCGCGCACTTGCCGACACGTGCCCACTTCGACACGCGCCCACCCTCCCATCAACGCGTGGCTTCCCATCAATTCCACGGAAAACGCGGGCGTTGAGTATCGCGCTAGCCACGGCCCGTCACCCGGTCCCTTGGTGCACTTGGCGACCACGGGCTGGGATCTCCCGCCGCCACCGCCGCTGCCGCCGCCCTCCCATCATTCCTGCTGATGCGCCGTCGCCCTCCCATCATGTCTGCTGATGTGCCGCCACCCGGCAACATTTTCCCGTGCCTGGAGGGGGTGGGTGCGCACTCTGCACAGGTAAGTGC